AGTATCCAGAAAACATAGCCGAAGGTCAAGACAGGTAGCAGACAAGTGAGAATCCAAAAATTTAACTTAGGGTTAGTCCACAATCAAAACATAGGAGCGTTCTTGATCAGTCAGGAAGTTGTATCACAAGCAGTGTGGCACTGGCTGATGATGTTTAAATAGTAGGGATGCACAGATACTTTTCGAGTACCAGTGCAGATACTTGGCATTTTCATGAGAACTACCAGGGTTGCAGCGGTTGCAGCTGGGACCTGGCTCTGGCCCTCCACCACTGTCCTGAAATCATTAGTCTGTATTGTTTTAGAAAAACTGTCACATGACAATAAACAAAAATGTATCAGTACTCGTACTTGTAAGTACTCGGCAAGAACCAGTACTCATACTCACAAAACTGGTATCTGTGCATCCCTTTATTTATATTTATAAAAACAAAATCGTACATTAAAACCGAGATGTACAAATCCCGGGAGCTCCGTGTGCTCCTTACAAATGACAGCTGCCTCCTAATTTTTTAATTTTTCTCTAGTGTAGTCTTGGAGCTCAAAAGTATCGGTACATGTACTCGTACTTGTACCGAGTACTGTACTTGGTATCTGTACAACCCTACTAAATAGATTGCCTCCATAGACACAGGACAATCCTAGCTGGGGGCATGAGGCAGATGTATTACTTGACAGCTGAGAGGCAAGACTGCAGGCAGCAACGCAGGCTGCAAACACTGTGGCCAGACTCATTTCCTTTACGGCACAGTGATAACATTACATAGGATACCTGACAGTTTTCAAACCCACTTTCCTATGTGCCCTTAAAGCGCCTAAATACTATTTTCAGTTCACTGGGCACTTGCATTAAAGCCATTTCTTTGTAAGGGTAAATCTAAATTCCCTAAAGGCACAGGAACATCACGTGGAAGCCCTTAGGTCTGCCTTAGAGAGCCTCTTGGTAGTTCCACCACTGTTCCCAACCAGCAAAAAAATTGCCTTCAGCGTGTGTGTGTGTGTGTGTTTCTGTGTAAAAAGAACAGGTTATCACAGAAAAACAGACTATTTCAGATCATACCCTTAGGTCAGAGACCTACACTGTGTTTTCTTTTTCCTTGTAACCGGTACAACTGGCTTTCTCTTCTTCCTGAGCTCCAATAATCCCATATACCTTCCACTGCCAGGTTATTGCGCTGCTCACTCAGGTGAAAACTAAGTTACTGAGGTAACTGATAAATTTCTTGTTTTTAAGTCTCAGGGCCATTATACACTTCTCTTTCTCCTTGACCCTTTGGATGCTTCTGACATCATATATTCTTCTGTGAGATTGTGATTTAGCCTGAGGCATGCTCTTGGTTTCCATTAGGTTTCTTCTTTTATTTATTCCCTGTTGTTTGTTAGCTTATTAGTTATCTCCAAGGTTTTATTGTGTGGCCCTTTTAAGTGCTCTAAACATATTTTAGCTTATTGTTGTAAAGTTTACCCACACATGTATATTTATATTACTTTCACATTTTTATATACTCGCTTTGCCATATTTCTTTATTGCATCTCATCTACATTGTAATTTTGGCACTTGCAGCACTAGGGGTCCCAGGATTAAATCTCGGTCAGGACACCATGCTTGTTCTCACTTTGCTTGCATGGATTTCCGCTGGGTAGTCTGGTTTTCTCCTACACGCCAAAGACATGCTGATAGGTTAATTGGCTCCTGTCTAAATTGGCTCTGTATGTATGCATGTGAGATAGGGATCTTATATTGTAAGTTCTTTGAGGGCAGATGTGAATGTGCACTGTGTAAATGTATGTGTACTGTGAATGTAAAGCACTGTGTAAACTTTCAGTGCTGTATAAATACTTGTAATAAATAAAATAAATAATTTGCCTCTCTAGCAAATGTCTGGATATCCGACAGTACAGTCGGCATCCTTGCTAAACTAATTGTGCAAGAAATGAAGTTGCAGCATGACCCAGATTTATTGTTTTCAGTCATCTAGAGCTGATTCACCAACTTTATGACTTTGACAGTGAAATAAGAGTAATAGTAGTTCTGCCACTTTGCTGAGTAGGTAGCACAGCATGTCTTTGTAATAAGCAAATATGGGTGAACCATTTAACTATATAATGACAAAATATACAAAACATTTTTTATTTTCAAATGGCTTTATGAGTTTACATGGTTATGTCTACTAAGCTAATCATATTCTAAACACCTGGTTTAGGTCTGTATACTTTAGTAATTAAAAGAGAAATAAAGCCAAACCTTTTTTGTCTTTAGTTTGCTTTTGGGTCACAGGAAAACATTTACTAATGTACTCCCGTCACCCAAAGTTAGCACATAGCAGGTTACTGTCCACTGTATGCTTGCAGCTGTGCTGTAGCTATTGAGGTCCACCCCACTGCCTGATTGACAGCTGGTTTTGCCTCTCTAGAGCCAAAGCCAGCTGTGCCCGCCTCATCTCCTGCTTGTCCCTCCAATGAGTGCTGGAGGAACAGAGAGAAGGGAGGAGGAGAATCCCTGCTGTGAGCGGTGACTGACCGTCACTGCTTTAAAGGAGAAGCCTTTAGCTGAGCGATCAGTGGTTTGTGATGGAACAGCTGCAGTGCCACACGCTGGCTCACAGTTTTGGGAAGAGTACATTTTACTCCCCCAATCCTTCTCTTTTAATCATGTTAGAATCTTGAATAATTTTTCAAATACAGAAACAAATGCTTCTGGAAATGAAATAATGTAAAGTCTAGGAGCTTTTCTGAAAAATGTAGGGAAAAGAACAAATGTACCCATAGCAACTATACACCGGCTTTTTTCTACTTCTGCTAATCTGTCTGCTTATTGTGCACTGTACTTTAATAAACAAGCTGCTGATGTGAAATAGTACCAGGAAGATCAGATTACACACATGACAGAATGGGGGTGATTTACTAACCTAAACACACACACGCACCAGGCGCGTGTGATTTTCACACAGCAACACGTATTTATCAACCAAAAAGTCTCTAAAAGCATATTTCCACTAATGCCATATATGGAAAAATCATGCACATGATGCATATATAATGCTGCTTCACAGTTTAGACAAAAATGGTTAGCTCATGTATTTACATTCCTGCATTCATCAACGCAAGCAACACAGCATAGAGCTAATTTACACAACATCACCTTGTAATTCATGCAGGGCTTTCCACAACACACCTGCTGGGTGTGTACACACTAGAAAGGTGTTTAGATTCCACCCATAGATCATGCTGGGAGGGAACACACTACAGAGGTGTATACATGTTCGTGGTGTGTTTATAAGGTTAGTAAATCAACCCCAATGACTCACAGAGAAAGGACACACTCCTCCTCCTCTCTGCAAAGTCAAGCAGATGAAAGGGGTTTCTATGCATATAGCCAGGGTTGGACGTTTTATGCTTTGCAAAGGGAGTGTTATAGATGCACATTTTATTGAAAGGTTGTTTCTAAAATATAGAGCTTATAGACCTCCTTAAAAAAAGATTTAACATTGCAATTTATAAACTTGAAAAAATGATTTTCCCAGTAAAAAAAATGCAGCTATTCCATTGTTTCATAGTTACAGAGGTAGTCAAATTGAAAAAAGTTTATCAAGTTCAACCAATAGAAAAAAAAAAAGAAAAGCACAGTTGGCCCAGAATAAGGCGAAGAAATCTATAAATCATGGCCCAAATTGCTCCAACCAAGGAGAAAAAAAAAACTTCCTGGTACCCTAAGGTGTTCAGACATTTCCTGGATCGACCCTCTCTGGTGTTATTGCTTATATGGTTCTCTGAGTATAGAGAGTAGAAGGAACACCCCATCCAAATATGATACATTGTACCTAATCTGGCGCTGGGAATTTGGGAATACATGAGTTATTTTCATCCTGGCATGGTTCTGGTGTCCCTGGCCACTCCACTGGTTAAGTCAGATTGGAAGGATTCCAGCAGAGCCACTCATGTCTCAACTTTCAGCCAGTTCATTAGGAACCCACCAACAATCACTTTGTGTATGTCTAATGGGCAGCTCTATGGCCATTCTTTAAGATGCTGTGCTCTGCAACCTTCCTTTCATCCTAAGCGAAAAGAGCATTTACTTTGCTAAGTGAACACTTTTCCTTTTGTAAATCAAACCCATTACTTCCTAGATAGGAATAGCCTGTGGTAATTTGGTGTCTAGAATTTGTCTTTAAAACGTTCAGCAATCTATGGCTGGGTCCTTTCCTACATACACATGCTACCATTATGTGATTTCTGAACATTTCATAGGTGTGCTACTAATCGTTGAAGTAATTTATACACATTCTAGCAAGATAAACAGTTCACTATATTATTTATAGAATACACACAAATAAAGTAATGAACTAAATGAATTTGGTGCCTGTTTGCATTGCTCAGCGGGTGATGAGTAAGACTTTTTTATTACTGTTGTCTGAATGTCGTGTAATGTTGAGCATAGATGCTAGAAAATGCGAGGGACCCAAACCCAAAGGCATTGAGACAGCAGGCTGGTTAAAGTGTCAATGATCAGAGATCCACAAACCCCCATTTATAAGATAAAATAAATATTATAGCATATTAAGGCATTTGTACTTGCCCAAGTTATCCCCTCTGCACTCTATTCCCTCGCCAGCACTCCCATGTCTTCTTCTGGGTTTCAAATATTTGGCCACTTGATTGGCCGGGCCCGGATGATGTGACTCCCTTGCATGCTCATTGAAATTACTTTTTCCTGAAAGGGTTTCTGCCGAGCCTGTGTACAGAAATAAAGAAAGTGCTGACAGGCAGATAAGAGGATCTACAACAGAAGAGGCTGTCTCATCTGTAATAAAAAGCATACCTGCCAGCACTTTTTGAAGAAAAGACCTAACTTCCATTTTAATAATCTATTGCTGGTATGGGTCTCCTTTTTAGAAAATATAATCATGATATAGGTAACATGTACAAGTCTAGTTGCAGAACGTGATATTACTAATTTGTTCATCACTGGCCCATTGATTTTACATGTTTTTCTCCATATAGTGGAATCTCACTGCTTATTCTCAAGCAGCAAAGTCTTACTTCTCTGAAGCTCCAGTCGCTCAAAGAGATCAGTGCGGGTAATGTCTATATCACTGATAACCATAACCTCTGCTACTACAATACCATCAACTGGACTTCATTGTTCAGGACAACCAGCCAGAAAACCACCATACGGGACAACAAAAAGGCTGAAAACTGCAGTGAGTATCAAATGACTAAGTTCCTGTAGTGCTTTAATGGTTATCATGTATAATGGAAAAAAGAGTTCTACTGCTAAACTGACTGGAACCAACACATACAACAGGGGGGAATGTATCAAAACTGGAGCAGACAGAATCTGAAGCAGTTGCCCATGGCAAACAATCAGCTTCTCTCTTCAGTTTGTTCAGTTAAGATTTGAAAATGAAAGATAGAAGCTGATTGGTTGCCATGCACAGCTGCCCCAGACTTTCTCTGCTCCAGTTTTCATAAATCTCCCTCACAGTGTTCTTCATAAAAAATTCTTAATTCTTAAGTGCTAATTTGAACCAATATATAACAACCTATAAGAATTCACCTTGTATGGGTTTGATTTTAGCAATGTGAATTCTAATTGATTGTATTAAAAAAAAACAATTTTTTTGGACAAGGCTAAACATTCTTTTAGGCTAAAAGAGCATAAATAGCAAGGAAAGGACCAAACCTTTATATCTGGGCTTAACATGTAAATATACATTTATTCCACAAACAATCATGGTTTGTGGTGTTATAACCTGGCATTTTTAAAGCAGATCTAAACCCAAGAATAAAGTAGTATATTGCAGCTTTCCAGTTCTTAGCTATGGTGGCTGTGTCTCTTTTCAGGTTTTTTTCTTTCTTTTTACCTGGCGATCCTGCCAGTAACACACTTCCTGTCTTAGGGTGACAACGCTCCCTCGCTATACTGTATCTATAGAGGAGAGAACAAACCTATAGAACACCTACATTTTTTCTGTTCTCCATAACATTGGCTGGAGGTATTATGTAGTTAAAAGAGGTTGCTGGGAACAATGTAACTGAATAACAGTGCAGCAGTGGTAAAGAGCACAGAACATTACCAGCTGACAAGATTTCTGCAAGAATCACGCTTTTTTCCCCACTTTTATAAACAAATATAACAAATGTTTCCAATTGAATATTTAACAAAAGACAGCAAATAGAAAGAGTTAATTGTTTGAATTTACATACACTGTCAAGGACGAGTGTGTATTATTAATGCATGCTTCGGTTTGTGTACAATAGGAGCAAGCTATAGGTGTGTTTCGTGCATACTGTATTACTGGAGACCTTTTCTTGTCTTTTACAATCAGGCTATTAGATATATTTCAATACTTATCATACTTTCAATACTTATCCGTATGTGCTCATGACATGTAATGACTTCACTATTCCAAAGAAAGCCAATATCAATCGCACACAATAGCTGTGGAATTTCAAAATCAAGACTTTTATATAGGACTATTATATAGGATATATCAATGTGCACTGCATATTCTTATAGTAAGATTATCTCTACTATAGTATATAATGAGGTTTTATTATAAATATTTGCAGATCCATATTTCTTGCAAATCTCTGTGTATTTTTGTTCTGTGCAAACGGAGGCAAAAATGAATGTATATATTATATATTTTCGCTCCATGCCAAATTTAAACTGGCACTAAACTCAGGAATTAAATCTCAGAAATGTATTCAAGACTCTTAACAATTAACAATACTGGGGGAATTTTATTTTAATGTGCAAATCTGTCTTTTAACATGTGCACCTGTTTTGACCAGTGCTTGGACTACTTCTCCTCCAACTGCATGCGTTTTGCGCCTGTTTTCATCTGCACTTGTTCTGCGGCTGTCTGAAACTAGAGCATCACCTAACCAAACAATGGCTACTTAAGAAGTCCCCATGACCACTTCTTCAAGAAGCGACAATTAAGCTTTTTGCCTGCATACAAGTTTTCCTTTCTGGAGTCTATTTAACCTCATTTATGAACATTACACTAGCAACATAAATCTGGCGCAAAGTGCGTCAAATATATTTTGTGCCAGTTCAAACACTTGCAATTACTATGATAAATTCCCCCCACTGTGTTTTATTTGTATATCACTGAGCTGTGGTTCCTCAAATCATCTCAGGATTCATGCGGACACTGTCCTTCCTTCTGGAGGGTGACTACTTTTATTTCCCATGGTCACTGTGTGTTTTAAATTAGCCACCGCTCCAAACTCGCTCCTGTGATGAACTACAAACTTACATTTTGTTTACTAATTTGTAATGAGATTGTAGTCCATCACAAGAGCATGCTTGAAGAGATGGCAACTTTACAACACACACAGGGACCATGGGGAACAAAAGTAACCACCCTCCAGAAGGAAGGACAGTGTAAGCACCAATTCAGAGATGATTTGAGGATCTACAGCTGAGTGATTCACAAATTAGCTACATTTTTGTTAATAGTTAACGTACTTGAATGCATTTTTAATATTTAACTCCTTAGTTTAGTGTCACTTTAATATCAGGATAATTCCGTAGTATGGCCATTAGATGGAGCTGAGAAGCATAGGAAGTTTGTTGTTATTTGCTATGCTACTCAGCTGCATCTAGTGGTCATAATGTGGCATTTCCTGTTAATACAATTGACTCGTAAAGAAAATTTATATCATTTGTTTTTACCTCTAATCGCACATAACAAACATGCATGGAGCTTTGGAGGACGAATGGGTCTGCAGATTTTTTAAAATAAATATTTCGATATAAAGTCAGCTAACTTCTCATACTGCTCATGCAGGAATAAAATATCTAAGAACAGTGGTTGGACTTCATTTTTAACTTCCGGCATATATATCTTAAACAGCAAAAAATATAATTCTATATTATATATTTAATGCTTACTCTTTATCTATATTATATATTCTTGTACTATAATTTAACAGTATATTATATTGGTCCATTAGTCATGCCTATATCCCATATCCATTTTTTAAGTATGTGGTTTAAAAGCGCGTGGGACTTAATGGCCAAGATGCTGCTTACTTCATGGTACCCTGGGAGTAAACAAAGCATGTAGGGTGGCATGTAGAATCTTCCAGTTCATTAGGCTAATTAATCTCTAGAGTCTAATTGGTGTATTTTCGCATACACTTCTAGGTTTAATTTACAGTGTAATGGTTGTTGTTACAGTCTTGAGACTCAAGAAGCAGCCTATTAACCCTTCCCACATAAGTATCAATGGTTTTCTAACTAGTAATCATGCAAAGAATGATTCTATTTCTGTTTTCTTTCAGCTGCTGAAGGAATGGTGTGTCATCCTCTTTGTTCTGCTGCTGGTTGTTGGGGACCAGGGTCTGATCAGTGCCTGTCCTGCAAATACTTCAGTCGAGACAAATCATGTGTCAGATCCTGCAACCTTCGCTCTGGGTAAGTAATACTTAAACCAAATATTCATGTCTGAGCCATGATCATAAATCAAGATGGCTGTGTAATAATATGCATGCATATGTATCTGCCGTGTTACACCCTGACACCTGAGAGATTATTTAGTCATTCTGTTCCAATCCTGTAGTTCCTGGGTATCTTGCCTGTTGCAATTACTTCTGCAGATCACCCAATAATTAATGAACCCTTTGAACCCATGACACTGGCTCACCGGTCCACAACCATAGCTCTTAGGCCTGGTTCACACCCGGGCGTTTTACAGCGCGTTGCTACGCGCTGTAAAACGCTCAACATGTGAAAACCAATAATTGCCTATGGGCATGGTTCCCACCTGGGCATTTTACAGTACAGGAGCTTCTTTGGGGCATATTTGTCGCGCGTATCCATTAGGATACAGCCGGATAGCCCTCGGAAATGCGCATTTGTCACGCATTTCTTTTACCGCAAATCGCGGTAGAAACGTGCGGCAAACGCGCGTATTCCGTACACCTAGGTGTGAACCCAGCCTTAAAGTGACACTAACTTAAAAATGTATTCAAGTACCTTAACTATCAACAAAAATATCACTTCTTTGTGTATGACTCAGCTGTAGATCCTCAAATCATCTCTGAATTGGTGCTGGCACTGTCCTTCCTTCTGGAAGGTGGCTACTTGTGTCCCTGTGTGTGTTGTAAAAAAGCCACAACTCCAAGCTCACTTGCATGATGAACTACAATCTCAATTCAAATTAGTAAACTAAACAAGAGATTGTAGTCCTTCACAAGGGTAAGCTTGGAGTGGTAGCTACTTTACAACACACAGAGGGACCATGGGGAACAAAAGTAGCCACCCTCCAGAAAGAAGGACCGTGTCGACTGCAAAACATTTTTTGTAATATTTAAAGGAGAACTATGAGGTGAGTGCTTTTCACTCACCTCATAGTTCTAGCCGACCTGTGACAATGAGACTGTCACAGGTCGGCTCAGTAGATCGGGAGGTGAGCGAACACATACCGAGTTCACTCGCCTCTCGATCCTGTCACGGCTCTCTGCCGTGACAGGGGGAGGGGCTGGATTCCCCTCTCCCCGCTCCGATCTGCCAGCGCTGACTGGCGGAACGGACGGGGGAGGGGGCGGGTACAGCTGGCTCTGCCTCTAGATAGGCAGAGCCAGCTGTCACTCACGCAGCTGGGCGGATCCCGTCATCAACGTCGGGATCCGCTCCAGCTGCGGCGTCTCAGTATACCGCGAGCTGTAGCTCGCGGTATACTGAGCTTAGGGTAACGGTAGGACGCTAGTTTGTGTCCTCCCGTTACCCTAAGGAGAACTATGGGGAAAAACACTGACCCCATAGTTCTCCTTTAAGGTACTTGAATGCATTTTTAGGATTTACCTCCTAAGTTTAGTGTCACTTTTAAAAAAAAAGTTGTTCCACATTGACTGCTTACAAATGTGCCTAGAATATTATAAGGGGATAAGAACCTGGTGATCTCTCTTCCCAAAAGAGCCGAACGTTACCCTAAGCAGAGTATGTTTTTCAGTAGTGTCATGCACAGAATAAATGCATTTTAATGTATAATCGTGTATTCCACAAAACTGTAGTACAAATCAGAATACTTGCACATCGTTAACACTGCCTGCCATATATATTTAGACGTAAAACTTCAAAGAGCATGAAAACATTTAGCAGTGTGTAATGTAACTTTAAGCCATAGAGGGCACAGGTGTTTATATTGCATATTATTACTCGCATATATCCCCAGAGTCAGTCAATTCGATTTGCGCCTCACCCCCCTATTATAGACTAATACCAAAAACAATTTATCTGGGGTTTTAAGAAGCACACACCATTGCAAGGTCTTCCTCACAAGCCCTGGGTCTAGGTGCCTCCTTAATTAAAGGGGTACCATGATGCAAATAAGCCCCCTTGTTCGCAGAACCCCACAACCCCAGGGTCAGGGTTGTGGGGAAGAGGCCCTTGTCCCCATCGCCATGGGGACACCCCCCCCAATGCAGAGGGCACGTGGCCTGGTGATCGCCCCCCCTTTCCTGCCCTGCCAGTGCTCGGATCAAGGGTCTGGTAGGAATGTTAGGGGGACCCCACGTACTCCCCCTCCCCCATTCTTTGGGGCTGTAGTTGCCCCTTAAAATTCCTACCAGACCTAAAGGGCCTGGTATGGATTTTGGGGGGAAACACACACACACTTTTTGTTTTAACTTGGGGGGGAGGTGGTAGTGGGGGGGGGGGGGCTCCCTCCTAACATTCCTACCAGACCTAAGGGGTCTGGTATGAATTGGGGGGGAACCTCTTCTGCAGACTGAAAAAAGAAAAAAAATTATCCCAATATCACTTTGCTGCAGACTACCGCTAACGAATTTCGTCCGAATCTGGAAACGAAGTGCATTTCGGACCCGAATCCCGAAAAACGAAATAACGCAAAATTCGAATCAAAACGAAACAAAACAAATTTTTTGCCAGTGCACATGTCTATTAATACAGGCAGTTTCTCCTATAGACCAGGGACGTGCGGTCAGGGAAGGCAGGTGAGGCAGAACCTCACCTAGTATTATGGAGGAGTATGGAGGAGTATTATGGAGGAAAAAGCTGTCAGCTTCAAGTGTGAAGCTGACTGCTTTTTCTCCAGTCAGATCGGCTTTACCAGGTTAACTAAAGGGTTAAATCAAAATGTTAAAAAATATGCCAGGGTTTTGAAAAAAATGTTTTAATTTAGACAATGGTTATCCAGGCACTGCATGAACATTCAGAAAATTATAATTTTCAAACAAAATTCTAACTATCTCTACCTTGTTGCTACAAAAATTAGGGCCTGGTCATTTATATTCCAGTACAGATATCATTGCTTTCCCTATTTTGTATAATTGTTGTTCTAGCACTTATCAGTGAGGTCACACAAGGAGTTAAGATTTTAAATGCTGCCAGCTTTTAACCCTTTTAATAGAGGAAATCTTCACTTGGCAGTTAATTCTGCAGATTTACCTTTATTAGTCATTATTAGATCTCCTCCCCAGCCTGTAGCACTGTGAACTTTAAGAAAACACCATCAATTTCTGCATGTTCCTCCCACTCTATAATAATAAACAGTCTTTCAGAGTAATGAAATCTCCTTTCCTGAGAGATCATCTATTTTAATTACAGCAAATCATTGGCATTTCCTCCATTCTCCTCCCTTCTCTCTTCACCATCACCCTTGTCACCTTATCTCATTTCCCATGTCGTCCCCACTGAATCTGTTCAGTGCCTCCAGTTTTGGTTTTCCATTCCTTACTCATCCTCTCTCTACTCCTCTCATTGTAATTCAGATGTACTTCACATAAAATATTTTGCCTGGCAGTACACTGATATCATCTTTATTTGAAGCAGTGCATGAAAAATACAAGTACTGGTCTGCTATGAATGATCCAGGTGTTTTCTTTTTAGAATTTACATTGTGGCTGGAAACATAGGGAACTATTGTGAGGTTTGGTTCCTATAACAGTAAAAGAAAAAAAAAAAAATTGCACAGGACAATACATCTTCTTTACATAAAGCACTTTATGTATTAGCCACTTGGAGGTCCTTGTGTTTGTGGTCGCAGTGAATGTTCAAGAAGTAAATGCTTACCAAGTCATCCATTTCTGAATTACTTTGAAGTGGAAGCTCACCCTAGAAATCATTAATGGACTTTAAACAGTCATATAACACGTTTCTGTCTGCTCCTATTGTCCATCGATCAGCATTGGAAGCTTCCGGCCATTTACCAGCAACACTACGCAGCTCAGGGAGGTTGATTTACTAAAGAGAAGAAGGATGTTCACTTTGCAAGGGAATTTGCATTTTGCAAAGGGAAGTTTCCCTTAGCTTGATGAATGTGGTGAAACTTCACCTTGGAACACTACCCAATCATGAGCACAGAAAATAACAGAAACAGGGAAAATGAACAGCCTATTTGCCTTTCGTAAATCCGCTCTATGGTGCTCAGCAACCCTTGTGTAGCCTAACAGGGTCATTCACAAAAAGGTGAAGAGTTTGGAGAAGGCAGGAGAAGTGAACAATCTAGGACAACATAGCTGAACTGGAAAGTGAGCTGAATTGGAGAATTTTTCCAAATCAGCTATGTTGTCCTAGATTGTTCACTTCTCCTGTCTTCTCCAAACATTTCACCCTTTAGTGAATAACCCTGTAAGTCTTTGCAGGGTGGGTGGGGGCGCAGCCAGGACACTGGTATTCCGCCAGTTGGGGGGGGGGCGCCGCGGCCCGAAGATTTTTTAGCGCGGCCAAAGATTATTAAGTGTCCTCTGCCTGCGGCCGCCGTGCAAGGTATAAACCTACGCGTCAAGATGCGAAGGCCATTGGGTTATTACACGCGAGCCAATTGGCTTCATCTGGCTGCGCTCAGCTCACACACTGCATGCGAAGCTCCATGCCTGACAGCTTTGCTTTGCTCTGCACGGCTTCGCATGTAGTGTGTCACAGGCTTAAAGGAGAGTTATAATCTGAGCCGACCTGTGACAATGAAACTGTCACAGGTCGGCTCAATAGATCGGGAAGTAAGCGAACACATACTGTCGCTCGCTCACTTCTTGATCTATCCCTGCAGAGAGCCGTAACTGCCACTCATGGCACTCTGCAGGGATTAATTCCTTGTTATTTATTTAGTTTCCTCAAAAAAACATCGGGGGGGGGGGGGGGGCACAATTTTCTGTTCTTGCCTCGGGCGCAAAATAGGCTAGCTAGAGCTCTGCATCAGGGCACAGATTAAATACTTCCCAGTCAGGATTTGCAATCACAAGAAGCCTGGAGAAGGGGGCTAAGGGACACCATGATTTGCATTGTGTAGTTGGTAAATGCCCTTCAGTTCTCCAGTGCTGATTGGTGGATAAACAGGGTGTGGGCAGAATTCATACATGGTACTATGCATTTATCAAGGTACATGTGTTATATGACTGTTTAAGGTTCAATGATGATTTATAGGGTGAACCTTTCGCTTTAATGTTCACATATACACATTCATTCAGAATGAGCAGGTGCATTGCCATGGGTTGGGCTTAATCTGCATGTTCCCACAATGCACAAGTGTAAAAAGGGCCCTAAAAGACTGGATGGCTATGCCTCAGCTATTGCCTTTCCCATAAATATGCAACATTGTTAATAATGTAAATGTTAACTGTAAAAATAGGTTATTTTGCATCTCAAACTCTTGATTTTCTATTTCTAAAACGTGATAGAAGGTAGGGGACAAATCACTGTCAATGTATCTAAAAAGAACAAGGACTGTAGGGTATCCAGTGGAATGATAGAAATCCAATTGTTATTCCTTATCTTGTCTGCAGAGAGCCCCGGGAGTTTTCCAATGGTTCTGTCTGCCTTAACTGTGATAGCCAGTGTGAGAAGATGGAAGGAGGTGCACCTACCTGTTATGGACCGGTAAGAACATTTAAAAGGAATCCGGTCATAAGAAAACACTAAATCATACTAGATGGATTATTGTGGTTCTAAATGCTCAGCATTTCTGCCTTACAGTGCTGAATCCTTCAGTTTTGGTGTGATCCAATATATTATGAATATAGCATTCCTATATATTCTCCCTATTTTCTGCAACTTTCTGTACTCCTAAGACAAGACTGTTTTTATTTTAGTCCCTAGACACAAACCCCTTGCAGTGCTGGGGTAGCACCACTAGAAGGGGTTAATACAAATGTTGGCTGGAGTTCTTGTTTAATGCAAATTGCACATACCCACCACTGCTAGTGATGTTTCCACCTACCTCCTGAACTGATGATTGTCCCAGTGAAATTTGAAGATTTCTCCACTTCACCCATGATGTTTTGTCTGGGACCCCCACAGCTGATATCTATGCTGGCATTTACAGGTCTTTTGTGGGTGCATACATTACCCCTCTTTTCTGTCCTCTGGTGTCACTTAGATAAAACACAAGGTTATCGCACTCTTCTCTTGTTTTTTCATTTTACGATTTCCAGTGCCAGCTTCTTTTAATAGAAGAGCATTTATACTCATCTCACTGATGGCTAGTGTTTCCTACCTTTTCACCCATTCCAACGATGCAGCTTTATTTATAGTCTGGATTTGTTGGATGCCTGTGTTCCTGTTTGCGTGCCTTGGTTCCTTCCTCAACTCCCTATATCACTACAGGACACAGCAGTTATATTGGGTTGAAAGATGGAACTACAATGCATTGTGGGGAACATAGATATACAGCACTCCCAGAAGTGTTGAATGCAGAAGAGTCTTACAGAGGCTGCAGCACTAGAATAGATTGAAGGTAGGTGACATGGGTTGCCAGAGAGGTGATTATAATACTCTATCTATTACAGGGAGCAGATATTGTGAATTTTAAAGACATGACAGGGTCTGTACTGTACATTACATATGATAGTGTAGAAATGTATTTTATGAGCTCTAACAATCACTTGACTATTTTAGGGTCCTGAGCACTGTGCAAAATGCTCCAATTTTAAAGATGGCCCCAACTGCGTGGAAAAGTGTCCTGAAGGTCTCCAGGGAGCACACAGCTTCATCTTTAAATATGCTGATGAGGACAGAGAGTGCCGTCCATGCCACCCAAACTGCACTGATGGGTAAGAGTTAACATTTTGACTGAAGTAATACCAGATTTTTTCATCCGTTATCTTTTGATCATTTGGTAACATTTTGCATCCTGATATACAAGGTGTTACCAGGATAGGAAATTAGGGAATTCCAATAGAGGTTCTAACGTTCACGGAAATCTATCTCAAACTAAAAAAAAAAAAAAGTTTTGACTGTAGTTGCGTTTCAGTACTTGCACCTTATTAGATTTTTGTTTTTAGAATTTTGTAGGTTTTCTTACGGACGCCATTCAGCTGACTTTAATAAGAAACTGAGGGCTCATTGACCAAAAACTTTGCATACACCTGCCTGTTTGAAGGATTGCATTTTCCTGCACCAAAGCTGCAAGAAAATGAAGTCTAGTATAAACAAACCCACATAGTGCTAACATTCAGTTGCTCCATCGGTTTATCATATTTATAAAGTGAAATGTGTATTTATATTTTCTCATGAATGGATATTAGAGGACACAGAGTCCATAATCTCTTTTTCTGCAGGCCCTGTTATAAATGAACAGGAGGCCTCTATACTGATTGTTCCTGTTCATTCATAACTTGTGGAGATAGTATGAGTTACTATGTTCACAATTATGAATGAACAATTATGAATAAACAGGAAGTGATGTAGATTGATTAACTCATAACTGGTACACAGTAACCCATACTATGTCCAGTTATTTACAAGCAGTCAGCGATCAGCTGATTGCTGACTGCTTGTACCGCTCTCCATCCTGACATGCTGTCACAGCTGAGCCGGTGGTGCATGGAGGAGAGCTCGGCCTTTTTTGACAGCTAAATTCTCCTCCTCACCACCAACTCAGGCTCCTGTCCTCGCCCCCACACCGCTCTCCATCTTAATCTCCGCTCTCCTCCCCTGCACCGCTCGGTGGGGAGGAGAGAGACCAGGCATGCACCACAATTTCGTCCGAAAGATGGCACTTTGGGCGTTTTGCCAAAAGTGCCATTTTCGGCCAATATCTTTTGGCGCCAAAAATCTTGGTGCATGCCTAGTATTTATAACTATTATGCATATATGGACATTTACATAATAGCATATTTACTTATTTTCTGTAAAAAAAATAATGTTAACGGCGAGTTAGAATGCAGCGGTTCCTTGCAAGGTTAATCCTGCCCCCTTAGGAGAGTTTTTAGCCTGCTTCTAATATAGCATGGATAATCCTATTTCTCCAGCAGGAGCTGAATGATAAAACTGTGTTATGTGCAGACAACGTGTCTTACCAGCGCAACGTTTGTCCCACTGCTCTCATTTACAGCCCCAAGACTATCTCAAGGAATGTAAGATTAGGTCCCGCAGGGGCTGAGCAATTTAAATAGCAATGTGCACCCACAGCAAAACACCAGTGTAATGTTCAGCAATTACGGGAGAACTAATAAAACATTGTTTAGCTGGTTTCTTACCTCGTTGCTACAATTGGAGATAAAGGTCTCCCAAGCCCATCCGTGCCTTGCTTTGCATGATCTCAGCATTTTACTGGATGGAGCAATGTAATGTGTAGGGAAATCTAGAAATATTTTTACATTGTCCCTGTGGTGCTGACAGAAGTGTTTGGAAAATAATCCAGGTGTCGGAGCTACTACTCTGTTTATTTGCAGCCATGATGTATGTGTCATACATTTCACAGCACAGCTAAGCGAAGTCAAATCCTTCATTAATGGGAAAGGGAGGTAGCTAGACAAGAGATAGAAAGCAATTAAATAAAATTGTTCTGTGCTTATGCTTCCTCTAAAGTTTCCAGATGCAAGACTTCATGTCATTCTCATAATGCAGTGTTAATGTAACATCCTTTGATGCCTTATTGCCTTCCGGGATTATCTGACAGCATCAAATCACATTCCACTGTTTATCCTACATGTACAATGCATGGAGAAGCATTTTTAAGTTGAGTGAATATTTATTCTACTGCAATTTAAGTAACCAACAGCAATCAATACTACTTCTACTCTATGTTATGCTAGATATACAGGTATCAGTTTTTCTTGCAGTTGACTATTTTATATCATAACACTATGTCAGTTTATTATTGTCATCTGTGTCTCTAAATCTTTTCAATGGCGTACACAGGGGTATAACCTAATATACATTTTTAGTAATGAGGAAAGGTTAGAACTTTATATTCCTGTCCGTGACTTCCTGTCCTTGTGATGCCCACACTCCTATTTTCTTGTATGTGTGTTACAGGGACAGGAAGTGTGGGTAAATCTCTCCAATGGATTCACAGACAGACAAAAACTTAAAAGTATATTTAGCTGTTCTTTATACAATACACACACACACACACAAAAAAAAAGAAATAGTAGGACTTAAGCTTTAATCAACTGTTGAAAGGGTTCAATCAATGGGAAACTTGATCAGATCACTTTGAAATAAAAATCTTGATCAGAAACTGTTGACTGTCACTGTGAAGACAATAGCTTTGTGCTATGATCAATTGTGCTGTTGAACAGGGAATTAGGCAAATAATGTTTCCTTTGAGCTGAAATCATTTTATATTGATCAAGTACTAATCAGCCCCAAGGTGTTTTTTTCTAGTGGGATGCAGCCCATCTTTAAAAAAAATATTTACTTTCACTGATAGTTGGAAGCAATCTAGGGATTTTCCTCCCCAGAGACTGGTTGTGGAAGCCTTTTTTAACCGTTTTGTTGCTGCTGCTGTAACTACTACTATGGCGAGGGCAGTACCAGCATGTAAACAAACTCACAACTACTGTAGCACCCAATAATTAGTTTACATTTGTTTTGTGCTGCTGGCTTTCTTATCTTGTCTTGAAGTGATTCAGCTGCCCGATCACTTTTACATATATGGGAAAGTGACACCTGTGCCCCACCATGTGTCCCAGGCCTGTCTGTCGCTCCTGAATGCAGGTTTCAAGATGCAGAGAAACAGGAAAGTGGTGGGAGACCAGCAAACTTTGTTGATCTCCCCTGTTTAGTATGAACCTCAGAATACTCAGTTTTAAGCACTTCTGAGTTTAGAGCTGTTAAACTTCAGTGGCTCTGGCCAGGACAGCAGATCAAGCACAGTGCTAAATCAGCTTCAGCAGAGTCTTCAGCAGACCCCTGATGTCTCCTTAAAGAGGACCTGTACTATCTACTGCACTGTGCTATCACACGGGAGCTTATAAGCCCCCATTGGAAAAGTAAAAAAGTCTAAACAAATGAAAGTATATTAAATAAAAAACACTTAACATTTTTTAAATCCCCCTGCCACAAAATACACGTACAAACACAAATGCATACAACACATATTAGGTGCCGCTGCTCACACAAAGTAAGAGCATTAATTCTAGGGCTATCATTTGACGGTGTCAGGCAGCCTTAGTTCAGGAACTAAGTTCAGGAAGTCTGTATTGCTGGCTGCAGCCCTGACTGGCGAGGGTTAATCATCTTGTTTCTTGCTGGCTGCAGCACTAGCCTAGTCAGCTGTGGCTTAATTAATCTAACCACACACCTCCTGCTCTGGGATTGGCCTGCTGGTGGCGCCCTATTTAAGCTTCATCAGCCTGTTTCCCCAGTGCATCAGATAGTTCTTGCTATACAACCTTTGCAAATCCTGTGTCTGCAAATCTTGATTGTCTTCGGTTCTAACTTTGGCCTGTCCCTGGATTACGCTTTGCTTTCTGCCAGCCCTGACCTCAGCTTGTGCCCGGATTACCCTTTGCCAGCTGCCCGCCCTGACTTTAGCCTGTGCTCGGATTACTGTTGCCAGCCGCCAGTCTTTGACCTTAGCTCGTCCCCGATTACTCTCTGGTAGTGTCTTTCTACTTCGATCCGTACCACGGTTCAGCACCTCTAGCCACCCTGTGGCATCACCTGATCAGAACAAATAGTTTAAGACCTTGGGGCATTCAAGTACCGGTAGGTGTGCTTGCCTTATGGGAACAGTGGCTGCTATAGGTGAAACAACTCATCTCTATTTGCTAACATCAGAGCTTCTCACAACTAGGCAGCACTTTGAACAGTCAGGGTGTCTGAGATCTATCATGCAGGAAACAGAAAAAACAGTGTGCCTCTCTAGTGTAGAAGACTTTATTGAGTGAAAATGTTAAAACATGCAAGACAGGTACTCACAAGCAGCCGATGTTAAAAAGCCTGTAATGTGCAGAGGGGAATCTGCACTGAATGAACATCCGATGTCAGTCATGTCAGGACCTTCGATAAAAGCAATCCTCCTTCTGCTAACATGACAGGCACAGTTAACGCGTTTCCGGGGCGATACCCCCTTCGTCAGAACCTAGCAGTCCCCACCAACAAGTTACTATAAGACTCAAAAATTGGCCAATCAGAAATTGGCTAGAATGTGACACACAGAGTGGTCAGCCAATAGGCTCCGTTTGTGAGATCTCTTCGTTCAAGCTGGCTGTAATTAGATTATTATTACAGGCAGGGCTGCGAGCGGCGTTCAGCTCCACCTCCCAACCAATCACAACTGCACTGGGGAGGAGCTGGCTCGTCAGTGTAAAGCTTTAGCCGAGTCTGATAGCAATCACTGGCTATACAAACTAATAGGATGGAGGGGGCTGTTGGCAAGGTTAAACACATTAAATATATCTCAAATGATCTGCAGGGATGATCTCCAGTTGTGATTGATCCTTCACAGTAGATCACAGTGGCAATGTAAAATATTTGCATATTAACTTCAGCTGTCTGTATGTCAGTATCCACTAATCAGTTTGATGTGGGCTTTTCACTGTAGAAAACCCTCTTCTTGCTTATGCAATGTTTCATAAGTATAAATGGCCCAAATCTATGACAAGTTACTTTAAAGTCATAATACATATTTTACATCCATATATATCCATTTTCAAGAATTACTTGTATGACATTGTATGACATACATTTTTTAAATAACTTTAACTCAAAGCATTATATAATTTGTAGAGTTCATATAATATAGGTTACTTAAGTGCTAAGGTTTAGTCATGGCATATTTGCTCTGTCCATTCTTTTCTTCTTTTGGAGCCACAATCAA